AGAAAGAAAGAAAGAAAGAAAGAAAGAAAGAAAGAAAGAAAGAAAGAAAGAAAGAGGGAGCTGGAGAGATGGCTCATCAGTTAAGAGTACTGGTTGCTCTTGTAAAGGACCTGGTCCAGTTCCCAGTACCCACGAGACAGCTAACAACTGCCTGTAACTCCAGTTCCAGAAGAATCCAATGCCCTCTTCTTACCTCCATGGGTACTGCATGACATGGGTGCACTCACATACATGCAGGCAATGCAATCATACACATAAAATAAAAATAATAAAATATTTTTTAAAAAGAAGAGGGCATGAGGATGAAAAGGGAACACATTAGGGGAACAGGAGGGAGTAGGGAATGGAAATGATCGATACATTGTATACATGTATGAAATTATCAAAGAATAAATTAAAATAGTAATTTACAGTTAAATAAGGGACTGGAGACATGGCTCAGCGGCTCAGAGCACTAGCTGCCCTTGCAGAGGACCCAGGTTCAAATCCCAGCACCCATATGGAGGCTAACAACAGTTTGTAACTCCAGTTCCAAGGGATCCATCACCCTCTTCTGTCCTCCGTGGTGCTGCACAACATGGGTACATTTATATACATGCAGACATAGCACTCATACACAAAAATAAAAATAAATCTAAAAATTAAAAGTATATTCATTTGGGAGCTGGAGAGATAGTTCAGCAGTTAAGAGCACTTACTGCTCTTTCAGAGGATCTGGATTAGGTTTCCAGCACTCACACAGTATTAGGGAATCTGACGCTCTCTTCTGGATTCCAAAGCCTCCAAATTCACTCAGGTACGCACACATAAATAAAACCTAAATAACTTTTTTGGTCTTTTTGAAACAGGGTCTCCCAGTAGCCCCAACTGGTCTGGAACTCACTATGTAGACCAGGCTAGCCTGAATCTTACAGAGCTCCACCTCTTCTTCCTGAGTGCTAGAATTAAAGGTGTGCACTACCTTGCTCCAAAATATATTAACTTTAAAAAAAGAAAGCAAAAACAGTATGTCCCAAAAGGGAGTCTCAGATCTCTGCTGCTCCATAAAGATCCTACTCTTCCCAGGTTCCCATGACAAAGGGCAGGAAATCTTTCCCTCTGACCTATTCATTGCTGCATCCTCAGTACCTATAACCAGTACTCAGCATGCAAGTGATGCCCAGGAAATATTTTTCCTATTGTTCATATAAATGAGTACTAACTGCCCAGGAGCAGGAGACAGGAGCTCCAGTGCTCAGCCACCCACTCGGCAGGCATACTGCACCCTCACAAACCATCACGCACGTTGGGAGCAGTCAGGGCCTGTCCAGCCCGCCAGACAGTAGCAGGTTCCATCCGATGGGTGGCAGGAGGAGCGGTCGTTGCATTTACAGGGCACACAGCGTTTGCCATAGCGACCAGGCTGGCAGGCTGGAGAAAGGGATGCATGGTGACTGTGGGCCTTGACTGATGTCTTCCTCCCTCCTTCCCACTGTATTAACTATCCTGAAGATGGGAGTGAGAGGGGGAGTGTGGGGCCTCTGGAATCTGAACTGCTTTTAGTAGGGCAGAAGGGCGCCTCACATCTCTGGCAGGAGGGGCCTCGGAATCCAGGTGCACACACACAGTTGCCACTCTCAGGGACACAAGTGCCCCCATTCTTGCAGGTGCAGGTGTTGCTACAGTTGGCTCCCCAAAAGCCCTCTGGACAGGGCAGGTGACAGCGGGTGCCTGTGGGAGATAATGGAAGGGTCATGTCCTGTGGGTTGCACTCCCAACTACAGAGTAGACCTTTGATGTAGACACCCAGAATGCTCACCCATCCAGCCAGCCAGGCATTGGCAATGTCCATAAACAGGGTCACAGCCATCAGAATGGTCACAGTCACAGCGACTGGCACAACCTTCGCCAAACTGCCCCTTCTTGAAGAATGAATGAAGAGTACACTAGTCAGGGATGCTGTGCTCTCCCCTCCCCCAGAGGTAGGCTATGATTACTTACGGGACAAGGCAGCTGGCAGTGGGCTCCATGCCACCCAGGGGTGCATGTACAGGTTCCAGTTTGGGGGCTACAGGCTCCCTCGTGCGCACACTGGCAACTAGCATTGCAGCTGAAGCCCCAGGTGCCAGGAGGGCAGGGCACAGAGCAGTTACCACGCTGCCAACCTGGAGCAGAGGGGAACTATGAGTGAGTGACTATATACTCAGTACTGCTTGTGCCAACTTTATGCTATGAGATGAGGGTAAAAAAAGCATATGGACTCAATGTTGAATAGACAGTTGAATGCCTCCTGGGAGGCCTTATCCCACATGAGCCTCTAGTCTCTTCCACCCCACCTAGAAGAAAACATTGCTTTCAGAGCCCTGTCTAGCGTCAGCCCCAGAATTCTCCATAGACAAAATGCAACAGACTCAAGTTCACAATGGCCCCCCACCAGATCTGTAAAATCTGTAAAATAGGGGGATGAAAAAGAAGACTTGATGCTTGTTAAATCCAACACCAAACATTTAAAAAAAAAAAAAAAGTGTAAAGCTGGATGTGCTGGTGCAAACCTTTAATCCCAACACTCTCAGAAGGCAGAGGCAGGTAGATCGCTGTGAGATAGAGACTAGCCTGGTCTATATAGATAGTTCCAGGTCAGCTGTGACTACAAGGAGACCCCGTTCAAACAAACAAAAAAACAACAGAGAAATGTTCACTAGTGAATTGTATTCGGACCTGCTTTTTTTCTGTCTTTTTGAGACAGTCTCCTGTAGCCCCAGCTGGCCCAACTCACTGTGTAGACCAGGCTGGCCTTGAACTCACAGAGCTCTGCCTTCTGCCTCACGAGTACTGACTGGGCTTAAAGGTTGTGTGCCACCACATCCGGCTAGGCCTGCACCTTTTAAGAACAAGTATGATTTTAGAAATTGAAAAGCAAAGTGAGTAGGCCTGTGCTTCCAGCACTCCAGAGGCTGAACTAGGACGGTTGCCTGGAGTTCAAGGCCATCTGGGACTACACAGCAAGGCCTTATCTCAAAAAAATCAAAAAGGAGGAGGGGGTAGAGGAGAGAAAAAAGAGAGCCAAAGATTCCGGGAAGGAACTAGCTTGGATCTGTTCCCACAGTCCAGCAGCTAGTAGGCTCCGCCTTTATCCTGCTTCCCTAGCTCTGAGTTGGGCCTGCCCCTACCCTCCTATGGTTCCACCCTCAGTCACTCCTCCCAAGACGCCTAGCCGTTACCTTCCTTACAGATACAAGTGCCGTCGATGGGGGAGCAGGCGATGGCATTTTCGCATGAGCAGCGAGAGGAGCAGTTGACCCCGTAAGTGTTGGGGGGACAGAGGCTAGCGCAGTGCGGTCCCTAAAAGCAGTGGGAGGGCGAGTGAGAAGGCGGCCGGGTTCCTGGCCTCGCCCCTCTTTCCTCCTAGTGGGGCTCGCCTCACCGTGTAGCCGGGTGCGCACCGACAGAGGCCGCTGTCGGCAAGGCAGACGCCGCGGTGCAGACAGAGACAGTGTTCCTGGCAGCCCGGCCCATGCGTGTCCTGTGGGCAGCTCTCGTTGCAATGGAGGCCTGCCCAGCCCGGCCGGCACGAGCACTCTCCGTGCATAGGATGGCAGCTATGGGGCAGGTCGGGACGCAAGGGTCTGAGTGGGGCCGCAGAACCCTCCTCTGCAGGGCCCGAGTGGGAAGCCAGGGCTCTGCGCCCTCCCGAGGGCCAAGCTGGGGCAAGCAGGGCTACATGGACCGCCTCCCGCCCCCAGACGCTTCCCTGATCCCTCTCTGACACCGATGCCGCCCCTGGCTGTATGTAGCCCGGTGCTTTCCGTGACTCTCGGGCTCCAGCCCAAAGATCTCTCCCTTTGGCTTCCCTGCCTCGCAACCCACCTGAGGCTCCGTTCTGGGTCGCAGGTGCAGGATGCCTGGCAGCTGAGGCCGTAGAGACCGTCGGGGCAGAGGCGCTCAGCACAGCGATCACCTGTGAAGCCGTGTTCACACAGACACGCCCCGTTGGCAGGAAAGCAACGGGCACCAGGGGCGCAGTCGCAGGTCTCAGCACAGTCTTGCCCGAAGCGGCCCACGGGGCACTCCTCATGGCATCTGGTGCCAAGTTGAGTAAGTCTCAGCCACATAAGCCCAGCTGCACTCCACCTCCTCCTGCCCCCACCCCAATCTCCCTGGACCACTCACCGCTCACCAGTGTAGCCAGGAGCACAGTGGCACTGCCCAGTGAATCTGTCACAGAGGCCACCATTGTGGCAGCGACATTCCTGGCTACAGTTGGGTCCATGAAAGCCCTCTAGGCAGGGCAGGGAACAGATGGTGCCCTGTGGGGGCGAAAAGTCACTTACCACCCTCCCCATGACCACAGGCCTTTAGACATCTTCATATGCCTAAAGCCCTCGAACCTATCCAGAGTCCTGAGGGCCCACCCCATGAAGAAAACATTGCTTTCAGAGCCCTGTCCAGTGTCAACCCCAGAATTCTCCCATAGACTCCCACCCCATGCCCACAGGCACTGCCCTTCATACCATCCAGCCTGGTGGGCAGCTGCAGGAACCTTGGGGGACCTGGAAGACACCCCCATTTTGGCAAGGATCGGTGCTGGGGCAGAGGAAACCAGCAGCGCCCTGTGGACAGGATACTTCACAGCTGCGGGACAGGGGGTGAGGTGCAGGACAGGGGGTAAAGGTCAGAATGTAAAGGGAAGAACCCTTTCCTCCAAGGCTGGCTACTTGTACAGAGGCCAGCCTGATGTGGAGGAAAGCCTACACAGGGCTTAGCCATTCACACCTCTTCTTCCCTGTTGGGGAGTTCCATCCCCCTTCCTTCTGTCCCCCTTCCTTAATGGAGGACTGCAAAGTTCAGAGTGAAAAGGACATCCCAGTATCAGCACATGGGGAGAACAAGATTGTGGGTGGCAGTTCTCCTTCTGTACCCACCTCTGTGCCTCTCCTCCCCTTGCTCAAGTGGACCCTTTTTGAGAAACGCCTGTGCCTACAACAGTTTTTCTGCCCTGGAGGGCTCAGCACAGCAACGTCTCCAGGAAGACTGGATCCTTGGTCTCTGCCTAGTTTCCCTTCTCTCTCCTGTGATCCCCACTCCTCCAGCCTCCTCTGCAACCGGCCTTGCAACAGCCCTGGCTGGGTCCCTGTCTCTGCCTCACTTTATAACACACTTTCAAACACAAGCTCTCAAGTTCCAATTGCAGCTGTTCTAGGGAGAGACAATGCTGTCCCCAATTCATGAAAGGAAACAGTTCATGAGGAGTCAATAACTGCTCAAGGCTGCTTAGCTGATACTCATCAGAGCTGGACTAGGATTTTTTGTTGTTGTTGTTGTTTTGTTTTGTTTTTTGAGACAGGATCTCCCTGTAGTCCCAGCTGGCCTGGAACTCACCATGTAGACCAGGCTGGCCTCGAACTCACAGAGATCCACCTGCCTCTGCCTCCCAAGTGCTGGTAAAAGCGTGTGCCACCAGGCCTGGCTGGACTAGGATTTTAATCTCTCAATTCTATCACATTTGAGTCATGTCTGAGGACATTCATTCTTCATATATGATGTATGCCTGTGATCTCATCACACACCTGGGTCCTGTTCTCCCTGGGGGGCAGAAGCAGGCTCCATCCTGGGGGTCACAGGGTGCCCCATGGCAGTGGCAGCCAAACTGGCAGGCAGGGCCGTAGTGGCCTGGAGGGCAGGGCTGAAGGCAGTTTGGGGGCTGCAGGCCAGAGAGGCAAGAACAGGCCCCACTCTTAGGATCACAGGAGCTGCTGTTGCCACAGGCGCAGTGTTTGTCACACTGCTTCCCCCACACTCCTGGGGCACATTCTGTGGACAGAGGATACAAGGGGTTCAATAGGGGCCTAGCCCCTTACCAGCTTCCAGTTAGGCCCTGTCTCGCAACCCTCACACCCTTCTCCTATACCAAATCTCAAGAAAAGGCATCTGGCTACAATGGATTCCAGATAACTACCCTGGGGTCCTGAGTACCTGTGCCCTGGTAGAGACCATCCCTGAGTCACTAGCCACTCACCACTGGAGCAGTCGTCACCCCGCCAGCCTGGTGCACACTGGCACTGATTGGGAGCCACACAGCGGCCATGGACACACTCCTGGGCACAGAGTGCTGGGGTACAGATGGGGTGAATGTGAAGATGCGTCCACCCCACCCCTCCCACCTTCCATCTCTTAGGCTAGAGCCATCTTCCTTCCATACCAGGGGCTTGCAGTTCTCTAAGTACCAGGTCTGTCCTGAGATGAAGAAAGACTTTGAAGAGCAACTCGGGGTCAGACTGGACAGGACCCCAGGGATGTAGGCTCCCTGGCCCCTTTTTGTGGGAATTTTCTCAGAATCTTGTTGGGGAAAATGGTGTGGGGGGGTATCCTTGGGTGGAGGCTGGATAGATACTGTCAGACGGAAGGAGGGTAAGGGCTGAGGGGAGGGTTGGGTCAGGCTGGGAAGTAGAGTCTTCAGGGGCTGGTGATAGGTCAGGGGTGAAGGAAAGGTCAGGGGATGGCAGGTTCTCATCTAGGATTGGGGAGGGTCACATCCTAGGAAGCAAGAGACTAGACAGTAGCAAGGTTAGCCTGGCCTCCATTTCCAGTCCACCTCTGGGTCTTGTCGCCTCCTCCCCTGGCTGTTGGCCAAAGGAGAAACCTAAGGAGGCAGAAAAATAGCAGTCCTCCCCATCCTTTCCCAGGGCAGGAAAAGATTCAGACAGGCGGGCTAAGCCCCTCCCATTCCATGCCTGCCCTGGCCCAATTCAGGACTCACGAACACAGGCTCCGCTACTCTCATAGAAACCCCGGCAGCACTGCAGGCGTGGTCGGAAGTCTGTCTTCACCACCTGCCGGTACACTGTCCGGTACACAACCCTGGTGTGGCCCAGGAGATGGCCATCAGTGCTCTTGGCTAAGGCCCTGGCTACCCCACCACACTTCAGTGCCACTGAAGGACACCAGAGGGTGAATACTCCCTCCCTGCCTCCCATCAGCCACACACATGTACAGTGTACCACAGACACATCCATCCCAGACATGCCCATACACAGACCACATGAATGCCCACTAAAGGACAGGTAAGCACCTTGAGGCCATAGTGTCCTCTAAGCTCCAAAGGTTCAGGGAACGGTCAAGGAGGGGCCAGGACTCAGTCAGATACTTGCCCACCAAAGGATGGGACACACTTACTTGGGCTGGGAACAGGTGTGGGGGTCCTCCCAGGGCCTGTCACAGGACTCAGCGGGGGGCAGGCTGAAGGGACGGGAGTGGGACTCCTTAGTAGTGGTAGTGAAGCTGTGAAAGGGGAACAAGGGCAATCTGAGGCCTGAGCCTGCAGGGTGCAGCAGGAGACACAGGCCAGGTTTTCCATGTGGGGAAACATACCCCCAATATTTTGGCTTCCTCCCCTAAGCCTAGGATGGAGCCCTCATCCTGCCCTCTCTCCCCCCTAGTCCAGAACATCCTTCTAGAATTGGAATGTTCTGGGAGTCCTCATCAGAACTACCTCTTACCCAAAGGACAAGAGCCTTCCATCTTCATACACACACACACACACACACACACACACACACACCCCTAAACACCCCTAAACACCCCCACCCCCATTGTGGGAAGATTGAGTATGACTGCCTCTGGACCCAGCTGGTAGCAATAGGTTGAAGCATTTCTGACTAAATTCTTCCCTGGGTTCTATTTCCAGCCTGGTCCCCCTTTGCTCCCCCTGGCTAGTTCTCTCTATACTGGATGGCTCCCCCCCCCCCAGGAATAAGGACTGGGAAAAGCAGAGTCAGAGAGAGGCGAGAGACCAAGACAAACGCAGAGGTGGGGAAGGCATCAAAGGCAGCCCAGGGAGAGGCGCAAAGAGAACAGAAAAGATTCCCAGGAAAAGGCCCTCAGGAACGAGCAGCAAACCTGGCCCCTTCTCACCTTTCCCAGAAGGTGCAGACGTTGGGGTCATTGGAGTTGAGTGTTCTGGCCAGCCCCAGGCCTAGGGCCAGGAGGAGGAGGGGGCCCAGTGGCAACATTGCAGAGGCCTGCAATAGGACCCACAGCAGTTGAGCAGCACTGCAGTCAGAAGCCTAAAGGACCACATCAGCAAAGATGCATGCAGGAGAGGCCTGCCCATTGCCTCCTCCACTCCTCTGGTCCCATTCTGGCAGGGCTCCAGGTCTCAGGTTTGCTGTAACATAGGGTAGCCCTTGTTCTTAAGTTCTGTGTCTCAGGACTGGCTTCTCTGCTCTCTGACCCCCAACTGGCTGACCACTTTTCTTCTGTTCTGGAACCCCCTAGCATCATGCACTGGACATCACTTCTACTGCCTATTCCCTGACCTTGGCCAGCAGCAGCACAAACCCAGGACCCTTTATCTCTGATTCCCCTAGCCCAGCATATACTCACTGATATCCAAACCACAACATGGGGCGGGGATCAATGAAGGAGGTTCTAAAGGAAGCCAATTAGGGCTCAGTCGAAGAATTTTCCAGCAGTCAGGAGAGCTCAATATCAAGCTTCCATCAGTGGATGAAGGCAGGCAGAAACCAAAGCTGCTCTGATGGAGTACTGTGAGGAGGTTCCTGCTATAGGGGATGGGAGTGGGCCAGAGCTAGGGGACTTCACAGCCATTGGTGTGCTAGAACTAGCTCATATGGACTCCTGGCTCTGAGAGGCAATTCCCACTTTCCTCTGACAGTTCTGGGAAACAGGCTCCTCTCCATCTCCACACCCAGGCCTCACCCAGAGGGTGGGAAGAGAGTCAGGACCCAGAATGGGATGTTTATCTCTGGGCTCCTGGACTCGGGAGAGGCCCCGGCCCTCTGATTGCAAGCTCCCGTTTTGTGCTTTGTGTTCCTACAACTTGCTCAAGCTCCCAGCTCTATCCGTCCTGAGCTGCCCACATCTGCTTATAATTTTTCTGAATAGAGAGTAAGGCCGCTGTTGCTGGCCCCTTACATCCCTGAGCATCTATGGAATGTTTGCTGCTGCCTCACCCCTGGCCCCACACCCACACACTCTGGCAGATCATGAATCCCTCAGCTCAGCCCAGCTCCCCCTCTTTCCAGAGCCTCTCAGATTAGCATAGGCTCTTTAACTGAACCCCAGTTCCCATGTGGTCCACCCCCACCTTTAAGCCTCTGGAAACTGAATCTCACTCTCCTCCCCTTCTCTCCACCTTACTGTCACCCAGAGTGAACTTCTTCCCATCCCTCCAGTCAACAGGAGCCACTGAACCCCTCATCTCCCCTACACAGCCCCTAGGGCACAGCTCCACCTCTAGTCTTCTTAGCCCTTCCTCCCACCCTCCCTCAGTTGCCAAGTAACTCACCAGTTGGGGCTGGCTTGGGTCTGGGGAGCCAGAGGATGTCCTGGGAGATCCCAGTGCCCAGGATCTAGAACCTGACAACAGGAAAGAGCTGGCTGGGTGGGGGTTGGTGCTCCACCCTCCCCTACCACCCTGAACACATAGGTGAGGTGTGAGGGGGTCTCATTTGTCTGGCTTGGCTCCAGGGACTGGCACTGTGACCCTGAGAGGCAGGAACTGGGGAAATGATGCTAAGGCCTGTGTCCAGGGATCCAGGCCATAATCAGAAGTACCCTTCAACTGCTACTCACAATGTGACCCAGTCCACAGAGTCCTCACACCTATACAATCAGTTCCTTCTCTCAAGGTCCCTAAACTATCCACTCCCACTTTGCCCTATTCTCTGCCCACCTACAGGGCTGGCTCTAACTAGTCCTAGCTACTACTCCTACTCTCCCAAGGGTCCTCCACAACTAGGGACAAAACCCAAAGTTCCTGCCCTGGGTCTTTTCATACTCCATTATTCCAGAACTTTGGGCTCTGGCCTAGCACTGGGCCCCTGGTGAGCTGCCCGTCCTGACTGTTCCTAGAGTCTGCAGCATGATGTGGTGGACAGAGCCTATAGTGGGAAGGATTGAACTGAGGAGGTAGGTTGAGCTGTGGCTGCATCAAGTTCTTCGTGGTTCATACCCACCCTTGCCCCCAGGCCCCAAGTAACAGTAAGTACCCCTTCATCTCCCCCCATTCAGCTGCTAGAGGAAACAATCCACTTGGGGGCTCAGGAAGGTCCTGCACAGGCCAGAGGATGAAGGAGCATGGGCTATGATTATGACTGGTTTCCAGAAGGCTAGCTATGTAGAGAGAGGCTACCTTCCAACCTTCCAAGGGAACCTCAGGGTGGGGATGCAGTGTGGAGGAAGCATCAGCTGATCTGTCCAGGGCTAGAAGCCAAGGTGGTATCAAGGGAGACCAGTGGGTGGACAGTAGGAAGGAGATGGGTTGGGGGTCCTGGCAGGGAGAGGAGCAGCGCCACCTGACCATTCCCAGCTTGAGAACAGGCCTCATTAAGAGCCCAAAGCCCTGGCCTGGCCTCTCAGGCTAATCTCCCTCTGAGGGGCTGGGATGCCACAGGCCTGTCCCATGAACTTCCAGCTCCCCTTCAGTCCCAGTAGCGCTGGGCCCCTCTGATTACATGCCCATCAAGGGGCTTAATTCTCAGTCTGTGGCTCCCTGGACTAATAGTTCACAATGCACTCAAGAAAGACCCCTCACGGAAAGTCCCCTCTGCTTAACTCCATCTCCCACCAAGCCTCTTGTCTGAGAAGCCCAAAGGTCTTCACTGGAATCCAGTCAAAATATGACTCTGTGTTGTCCTGAGATGGGGCAGGCAGGGAGCTAGTGGAGCCCATAGGCCACCTCATTAAGAGTCCTCGTGGGAGGTGCCCACAGCTGAAGCAGATACAGTAAGCATGGGAACCTGCCCAAGGCCGGCAGCCGGTAGTCTCAGAAGAGGAATCCAAACTCAGGACCCAGCAGAGGCCTCCCAACGGTTCTAGTATTTCAAGAGCCGGTTAGGAAGCTCCAGGTTAGGAGCTCAGTAACCTGTTACAGGAGTGGAGAGCTGGCCAGAGGCTGGACAAGAGAAGGGATAAGGGGCGTGGGAACTGCACTGTGTGCTGTCAAAATGAGCAGACTGCTCTCTTCCACCTCCACATGCAAACTGCTGGGCTCCTGGCCAGCTCCCTTTCCTGCCTGCAGGGCTGTAGCCCACATTCCTGCCTCAGCCTCCCAGCCCCACAGGGCCCTGGCTTGTTCCCTCTGCCAGGACCTCATCTTCCCTCACTGCACCCCAGGCCTTGGGAAGAGGAAGTGAGTCTAGGGCCTCTGGCAGCCTGTAAGAGGTCCTTCTGGACAACAGTAGAGGTTCATTTCCATAGGAAACAAGCGGGGCTGATGGAAGTAAGACACCAGCTCCTCCAAGAAGTGGTGTGACTCTGGATAACCCCTGGGCTTTGGGCCTTCTGCTGCAGCTCCACTGAATGGAAATGGTAATGCACCTCCACCACTGGGTTGCTGTGCAGATGAAATGAGGTGACAAGATGATGTGCTTGGGGGCCGATCTATAACAGGCACCGCTCCATCCACATTAGCTGTCCCCAACATCCAGAGGACCCCTGCTGCTCCCCTGTGCATTCATTCTGGGAAAAACTGGTAGGCATTTTTTCCGAAGAACCCCCAGGTTGATCCCAGAATGAGAACAGGGCTATGAAAATGCTGACAGGGAGAAAGGAAGTGGGGATGGGAGGGGGCCGGGCTCCCCCTCAGAACCTGATCCCCAGAATGATGGCCCGCCAGCCAGAGGCAGTGACAAGGCAGAATGCCTGGGTTTTGCCCCCTTCCCCTAGACTTCTCCAGCAGGACCACTGCCAGCTCCCTGACCCCTCTCCTCATCTTGTGGTCCGAAGGGTCTAGTCCTGTCCCTATTGTGACCTTGGTTATGTCACTTGAGCTCTCTGAGCCTCTACTCATCCATCTCCTAGAATCCAGCGGGGGCCGAGATGCTGAAACAGTCTTGGCTAACTGCTCACTGCCTCGTCCCTTTGATGTCTCCCTCCATTTCTCCTTCTCTCTTTTCTTCCCATCCCCCATCCCTTCTTTTAAAACAGGGTCTTGCTAAATTTCCCAAGCTGACCTCAAATTTAAAATTCTCCTACTTCAACCTATTGGGATAACTGGGACTGTCTATACCTGACACTTTTTTTCACGCTTTTTCTTGTTTTTCATCAGACACTCTGCTAGCCGCCTTTTTCTCTCATCTTTACTTGCCTGGTCCCTGTCTTTCTGTGCACACTCTTGCACACTCAAGCAGAGCCCCTCCTACACCCAGCCAAACTAAGATGCAGCACGTTAGCAGAGGCACGCCAGGCATGTCTGCCGGATGGAGGAACAGGAAGCGTGAGAGTGGCTGAAGGCTGGGGCAGCAGGGGCAGGGCAGGGGTGAGGGGCTGGCCCGCAGCTGGCTCAGGAAATGGAGGCTAGAGGGTCTACAGTCAGCCTGTTTACTCATCAGGAAATAGAGAACCAGCAAGGATTCTGACTCACAAGTCTGCACCAGTCTCCACCCCAACCCCAACCTTTACCACCTGGGAGCAGGAGCCCACTTCTCAGATAGGTATTGGAGGGTCTTGGTAAAATGACTTGCCCAAGGGCTGTCTGGCCACCAGACTGAAACAAGACTGGGAAGCAACTCCCCCAGTGGCCAGTGGCCTGCCCTCCATACTACCACCTAGAGATTACCTTCAGAAAGTATAATTTTGGCAGAGCAGGGTGGCTATGCCTATAATCCCAACACTCAGGAGGCTAAGGCAAGAGGATAGTGTGTTCCAGGCCAGCCTGGGCTACAGAGTGAGACTCTGTCTAAAAAACAACCCACAGTGCAGCTCTCCTCTAGACACTGTCCCCTCTTCTACCACCTTTTATGACTCCCTGTTAAAGAGAAGGCCAGCTGTACCAGGTGTCCAGCTCTGGACTACAATCACACTGACAGCCAGTGGCCCCCACAAGCCTCTTACCACACAGCAGTCTCTGTTCAAGGGCCCCTCAGTATGCCCAGATCCTCCCAGCCTCCAAGGCCAAGCTCCACCAAGAAGCCCTCCTAGTGTTTAAGCCTCATCTTTCCTCCCTACTCCCTGAGTTTAGCAGTTGGCCTCCAAGTTACCATGGACTCCATGGCCCAAAGGAGCCCCCGCTACTCTCTCCAGCTCTTCTTGGAGGCTGGCTGTAAGTGGGGCACCTCTCTCCATAGGGAGATGACCCAGCCAAAGTCAGTACCAGTGTCCCTCCTCTGGGGTGAGTAGACCCAGTCCAGGCCAATCTGGGGCTGACAGCCATATACTGCAGTCTAGGGAGGGGATAAGGGACACCCTTCTGGGGCAGCTGCACCCACCAGCCTGTGCCCCTAGTCTCCCTGCTTGCTATACCCTCCAACACTGGCAGATGGTTCCTCCCAGCTCCACCCCGAGTCACAACAGGTTCCTTCACTGGTCTAGGTTTGCTTGGAGGTGCTGGAGGTGGAAGCCTTGAGCATGCTGGGCAAGTGCTGTGTCGCTGAACAGCACTGTAGCCCTGCCATAAGGCATGCCCATCTGTCTGCCACTGTGTCAGGGCTGCCTTGGAAAGGACTCTTCTTTCTCGTCTCAGTGTCCAGCATTGACCAGTACTCACAGGAGGTGGGGGAAGGGACAAGTGAACACCCTAAACTGAGTGCAGAACACAAGGGATGCAGTAGAAGTGTGGCTTCCACTCAGTTCCCCAACTGGCCACGTCCCAGAGCCCTGGACACAGTAAGGTGTGACTAGTGAGAAAATGGATAGTGGAATGCAGGAAGAATCCAACACCACAAAGTGAAAGCTGGCTCCAGATCTGCCCTCTGGCCTGGGTCAGGAACTCCTCAGGATTGGCCACCAAGCTCCCATGGGATGAGTGCAATGAGGGCACAAAATACAAGGCTGAGCCACCTAGCACGTAGGGAGTAAGGCACTGGTGTGGTCCTCATTCTGCGCCTTAAGGGCTACACAATCCTCCTCACCAAACACAGGGACTGAGCCCCAAATTCCCTCTATGGGCAGAGGAAGCCACAGGAGGGCAGGGGTCCCCACACCCAGGGTCCTGCTTCAGGCCACTTCTCTCAGGCTATGCATAAATGTGTGATACTGGTTATCACCCCTGGGAAACACAAACTGAGGGTTAAATTCGTTCTTTCTGTCCTCTTAACCTCCTGTTACAGATAGAGAAATGTCCTAAGAAGGTGGGCAACTTGCTGACATCATACAAGCCAGAAGGCAAAGCAGGGACCAGGACCAGGCCTCCCTCACTGGTGGTCTAGTCTCCCCCCCCCCCTTCTCCTAGGCCTGTAACCTTACCTTTGTGTTCTATCTCTAGATCTCTGGTCTGCTTTCCCATATCCACCTTTCTCTCCCTGGCCCTTGTTTCAACAAGTCTGTGTGTCTGTTTGCTGGCCCGTGCCTGTGTTTTCATCTGTCTACCCTCTCCTCCCTGCTTCCTCTTGTCCTTCCTCTAACTTTTCCCCCTCAGGGTAAGTACCAAGACTCACCACCCTGCATCAAACTGGGCTAAAGCCAGAAGGCCTCGTTCTCAGGAGTTTCCTCAGGGTGGCCCTGCCTGGCCTCAGCACCCTACAGTGGCTGTGACCTCTTTTATCTAATTTCCTACTGGTAGATAGCTGGTGGACAGGGCAGACTGAAGAGGGAATTTCCTCTTCTGGGAAAGTCTGATAGAGGATGTTAGGACAGAGTGAAGCCCAGAACTAGATGCCAACCCTGCCACTTCATCCCCCATGGAAGAGAATGAGGCAGGCAGGGAGGAGGCAGGGCAGCAGGCTTCTTGGGAGACTCAGATGTTAAAGAGAACAAAGGAAAGATGGAAGGTGGAAGGGCTGTCGACATCAGCCTCATACACACACACAGACACAGGTTCTATAATACGGGGTGGAGTGGGGCTTGGAGAACAGCCCCCAACACTCTAGACTCAGCATAGGCAGGGGTTGAGAGTTGACCTCTTGTACGTCCTGCCTGGAGCTGAGGCCAAGCCTGGGAACTTCAGCCAGAACAGGCTGTTCCCATCCCCTCTGACCTGGGCCACAGCCCAGTGGGGAAAGGAGGAGGCCATTGCTAAAACACCAGAACAGGGAGTCACGAATCCATGACTTGACGCTGGAAATAGGGATGGGAGGTGAGGGAGGCCTTGCTAGAGGGTGGGCTCCTGGAAACCTGGGCTCACATTATCTACCTGGCTATGGGCCCCACATCATGCACACCAAGGGCCCTCTGAGGCTGTGGATGCTTGTGACTGACTTCTCATTTCTTGTAGGTGGCAAAGGACTTGCAAACCCGGTTCCTTCCTTGGCGGAGAGGGGCAACAGAGCAAGCACCAAGCAGGCTCTGCTCTCAGGGGAAAAGTGCTTTCCCTGGTTAAGCCTCACAGCAACAGGAGGTAAGCGCTTTATATTATTATACCCTATGGAAAAGAGAAATTGAGGCACAGAAGAACAGAGCGAAATCAAAGTTCAAGGCTGATCTTCCAGACTTGGGTGTCACCCAGAATCTATAGTTAGCAAGCTGAGCCCTGGAATTAAGGCGGCCTGGACTCCATGGAGAGGCCCGCAGGCTGCCTTCCCCCGGGCAAAGAGAACCACAGGCTGGCCCCAGCAGCTTCTCTTTCCACTTACGCAGAACGCCCCACTGCCACCTCTCTTGCCTGCCACTCAGTCCCCAGTTTCGGCGCAGGGATCTTAGGCTCCAGAGCCCGCGGTGGGTCACTCACCTGCCTGGAACTCAGCGCAGCGTGTGCACCGACAGGTCCACGGGGCCACCCTCCGCGGAGCGGACCGAGGCCCGGGTGGGCGGGCAGGAAAGGGGTGGGACTCGGCTCGCTTCCAGGCAGGAAGTTTGGACAAGGAAGAGGGAGCCGGGAGGGGGCCGGGAGGGGTCAGGCAGCTGACGACGCAGCCCTGTTGGCCTCGGCGCTCCTATCTGCAAAGTGGGCTGGAGGGGACCATCACCACCATCACTACCGCGGTCCACCCAGACCTTGTTGACTCCCGCGCGGGCTCGACGTAGCGGTCTGTTGGACGTCCTTTTGGCTGCCGGCATCGCCGGGACTCAGAATCCAGGGAAGCGGCTGGGCTCTGGAGCCGGGCGGCGCCACCTGGCGGCCCCCGAGCGACCAAGTGCGGCTCCAGCGTCTCAGGCGGTGCCCCGGCTCCCCGCCGGTACCTGGCGGCCCTTCAGGGGGCGTGGCAGCCTTGGCTCCTTCACTTGAGGTGGGTCCCGGCGTTCCGACCTTGCATCGGATGAAGCCGAGTTTGGTGCAGCCACTACGAAGCGGTCAAGCTCTGAGTCGACGTGTGAGGTCTATCAAATTGCAGAACTCAGTCCAACCGCTCACTACAAACAATCTTCCACAGCCAAGGTTTAGAGCAAAGCCAACTTGGGGTTTGGCGATATTGGCTCATGCGGGAGGGCTGCGGGAGGGCCGGGGTTGAATTCTCAGCAGGGGGACACTTTTATTGGGGAGTAATTAACATACAATATAAATGAGACCATTTAAAGTGTAGTCTGTTGAGTATTGTTTCACAGGAGTTTCGTTTTTTAATATTTCATTTTTTTATGTTAATAAGTGTTTTGCCTGCATGTATGCTAAGTGCACCCATGTGGTACAAGGCCTGAAAAGGCCCGAAGAAGGTATAGGATTCTCTGGAAGTGAAGTTAAGGACAGGTGTTAGCTGTCCATGATGGGGACTGAGCCCTGGTCCTCTACAAGAGTAGTCAGTGCTCTTAAACACTAAGCCATCTCTCTAGCACCTTCTATTGTATTGTTTTGGTTTGGTTCCTTGGTGGGGGGGTTGTTTGTTTTATGTTTGTTTGTTTTGAGACAGGGTCTCTCTATGTAGCCCTGACTGGCCTAGAATTCCCTATGTAGAACAGGCTAGCCTTGAGATCCTCTCTGCCTCTGTGGGGATTAACAGTGGGGGCCACCATGCCCACACCTTAGGGTTTTGGGGGGATTGGTTTTTGGGGTTTTTTTCTTTTGTTTGTTTTGTTTTGTTATGGCAATTTTGAGGCGTACAATTCAGTGTCATTAACCAGGTCATGTGCGTGTAGCCACTGGACACTGTACTGTCCATTTCCAAAGCTTTCTCATCATCCCAAACTGAAATCACTGTTCCCTTATGCCTACTAACCATTGTTAGCTAACCTGACCATACCTCAGCACAGTGTTTGTCCTTCTGCATCTAGCTCATTTCACTTAGCATGCTGTTAAAATAGGTTTGACAAATGAGCTAATCTGTCACTACCATCCCAATAAAAGCATGTTTTACAACGTCTGTCTCCCCCAAAGTTTACCTGTTCCACTCTGTAATAATACCTCAAACTCCATTCTCAGTCCTAACCCTAACCACACGAAACTTCTGATCTGCTGTCTCTGTAGATTCTGTGTGTTCTAGAATTTCCATGTGAATGGAATTATACAGTATGTACTTGCTTATGTCTGCCTTCTTTCCCTCACCATAAAGCTTCTGGGTCGATGCATGTTCTTTAACACAGAAGTTGATGTCACCGGGCCCTTTCCAGTTGGGACTACTCTAGCTAAGGTACTGTGTGTGCCTGTGTGCAGGTCCTGAGTGTCCTTGGTGTCCACTAAGGAGCAGAATTGCTGGGGTCCTGACAGTTATCAATTCTTGTGTATTATGATTTCAAGTCTTTTGTGTATATTGTATACTAGGATTGTTTTATGTGAGAATCACCTTCTGAAAGACAGGCAATGTTGCTTAATAATTGTTACTTTGTAGGAGGTAGTTTGGGGAAGAAGGGGAAGACAAGGTTGGACTTTGGTGCCACCAATAATCTCCAGCAGGGGGCAGCAGAAACCAGAGCACAGGTCAAGGGCACCGGGCTGAAGACCAGAGTTGTAGCATGTCTGAAGCCAGAGGAGCCTTGAAAGTTACTTGATCCAGCACCTTCAAGGGATAAATGGGGAGACTGAGGTATAGAGGAGAGGTGGAACACACACCTGGCTCAGCTTGTTCTCATCCTTCCACATTCAGCTCAATTGCTCTTTTTCTGGGAACTTCTACTGCCTACATCTCATCATTCTATGAATGTCTAACCCAAGCCCTAGGGGTAACTCTAAACAGTTATTCTGTCAAGTTGCCTTCTAAATATTCACCATTGATTAGTGCTGCATCCAGCTTTCATCAGAGAAGCTTCCTACTGAAGTAGGCAATGGTTAATACAAAAATACATAACTGGCCAAAGCGCCAATGAGGAATGGTGGCCTGCTCGGCCCTGAACGGGACAGCTATCACACCCCTCCAAGGCTCAGGGAACAATGTTGAAGGAGGGCAGAAAGAATGCAAAATCTGAGGGTGGGGTGATGTGCAGCAAAAAGATGTCTTCCGGACACTCCATGGCCATTACACTCATGAACTCAAGAAAGCCTTGGTTACCTGCACAAGACTTGCACATTTCATGGGAGGGGCCCATGAGGCCTCACCCCTCCCAGAGAGATCATCAACAGTAATGCTTGTTGGGGAGGGGGTCACTGTCTTCAGTGGTGTAGCCACAGATAAGTCGTCTTTGTTCCACTGAGTAACTTCCCACCCATACTCTGGTAAGTAACTAATTAAACTCAGTGACCACATATAAAAAGAAAACATGAAGGGCTGGAGAGATGGCTCAGCAGTTAAGAGAGTTGCTCCTCTTGCAGAGGACCAGGGCTCAGTCCCCAGCACCCACACGGTGGCTAACAACTGTCCCATATCCAGTTCCAGGAGATCTAATGCCCTCTTCTGACTTCCACAGGCAATGCCTGCACGTGGTAGAGTTACATACATACAGGCACTCATACCCTAAAATAAAAATAAATATCAATTTAGAAACAAAAATAGGAGGAGGGCTCATTGAAAAGAAGGATACCAGTGGGAGGAGGAGGGGGAGGAGGGGGGGAATAGGGAGGTGAAAATGACTATAATTCATTTCACAGTATAAAACTGCCCCAAAAATGGGGAAAAAGTTTAACACTTGTACTTCTACCCACTACCACTCCTGTTCCCAACTTCTAAGTTTTTCGAGGACTGGGACCTGACGTTTGTGTTCCCAAGGTCTGAGACTAAGTATTCAAAAAGCACTCAAGTGAATGGGAACCCACGCAATGCTCTTTGAGCTCCCTAGACCTCAGCCGTCCTCCTGGCCACAGCCGTGTAACTAGAAAGATGGAAGTATCCTGAGGATCAATGGAAAAGTAGAAAGGGGCCACAATCCTTATTTATCCCTTTGTTCTACAAGCACCATTTTGTGCCTATCTAGGTCCGAGAAGAAAGAGGAGGAGGGGGGGGAGGAGGAGGAGGAGGAGGAAGAGGAGGAGGAGGAAGAGGAAGAGGAGGAAGAAGAGGAGGAGGAAGAGGAAGAGGAAGAAGAAGTTGTTGAAAGCAGTTACTAATTACTCAGCACTAAGACCTTTTTACATTTAATAACTTATATAGGTGATGATTTAAAATTCCCTGTCCTAAAAGAATGTACACACGGAGGAAAGAAGCAGTTTATTCACTTGTTCCTTGAGTAAAGATTCATCAAGCACCTGATATTTGCAGGCATTGGAACTGAGAAATGAACAGGCATGTACTTCTGCTTCGCTTACTGGCAGACCATTTCCTAAGATACATGAGGGCCTGGGTTTGACCTCAGCTCTTCAAAACAGATGTGCCAAGAATGGTGTCACATGCCTGTAATCCCAGAACCCAAGACTAAGGCAGGAGGAGCTCAAGTTTGAGACCAGTCTGGGCTATATAGTGATTTCCAGCACAGCCTGGGCTAAGGAACAAGACATTGTCTTAAAAAAAAATTCTGCCCAAATACAAATGAACTTGAGGGACCGGAGAGAGGGCTCAGTGGTTATGAGTACTAGCTGCTCTTGTAGAGGACACTGATTCAGTTCTAGCACCCACATGGGGGCAAACAACCATCTGTAACTCCAATTTCAGGGGGATCCAGTGCCCTCCTTTGACTTCCTCATTGCACAACACAGGTTCACTCACATACATGCAAGCAATACATTTATACACATAAAATAAAAATAAATAAAGCATTCAAATTGAGGCCAGGTGTGGTGGCACACGCCTTTAATCCCAGCACTCAGGAGGCAGAAACAGGCAGACTTCTGTGAATTCAAGGCCAGCCTGGTCTTTATAGCTGGGGCTACAGAGAGACCCTGTCTCAAAAAGACCAAAAAAAAATTTTTTTAATGAACTTGAGATGGGGTGCAAAGCACAGGCAAGCTCCTGGGTTCAAACCCAGCAGACACAAAATAAATAAGCTTCTGGTCTATCACAGTGGAGGTGAGGAGCTGTCATAACACAACTAGACGATACAGAGCACTATCACAAAAGAGGGAAGCAAATCAGGAAGAGGACAGGGAACAGAAAGGTCACACTGCAAAGGCAACTTCCAGTGAAGACCTAAAGGAGATAAAGGAGAAAGCCATGCAGAATTCTGGGAGAAGAATATTCTGGGAGTTGAAACAGCAAGTACAAGAACCCTGAGACCAGAGCATGTACCAAAGAATAGCAATGATGGGGCCAAGGAGCCGACTTAGTGAGTGAAGCACAAGCATGAGACTCAGTTCAGATCCCCAGAACGCAGGGGCTAGAGAGATGGCTCAGCAGTTAAGAGTGCTTACTGCTCTATCAGAGGACTGGAGTTCAGATTCCAGAACCCACATCAGGTGGCTAACAAATGCCTATATCTCCAGCTCCAGGATCTGACACCCTGCTTCCAACCTCCATGGACACACACACACACACACACACACACACACACACACACACACTTTTTTAAAAAAAGATATCCAGAACCCATGTAAAGTCAGGGAGGAGGAACATGCCTGTAATCCCAGTGCTATGATAGCAAGATGGGAAGAAACAGCAGACCCTCTGTCAAATAAGGTAGAAGATGAGGACTGATGTCCCAGATTGTCTTCTGACTTCCACATGCAGGCCTCCCTGCCTGCATTCATACCAACATGTGCACGTGCACACGTACAAGCACACACGCACACACACATAACAATGTGGCTCAGGGTATGTAATAAGGGTCATGGTAGCAGACATTAAAGACAGAGGGATATTGGAGGTCAAATCTTGCGGAAACCTCTTAGGCCATGGTAAAGCTGTCAAGTTTCATTCTGTGTGAGATGAGGAGCCATTTGAATGGTTTGACCAGAGGCAGGACATGATCCTTTAAAAGGAACATTGCTGTGTTGAGAACAGGCTGTAGGGAGCAGAGGCAGAAGGTGGGAGCCAATGAAGAGACTGTTGTGTTGATCCAGATGAGGAGAGAGCTGGGAGACTCCACACACTCAAAGGAAATAGTCTTGGAAGGAGTCCTGAAGGCAGCTGCCTTCTAAGAACTTGCTCAGAGCATCCCAGCACCCAGGGAGGGC